GTCACATTTGGCCTCAGAGTGCAACTGCATTCAAGCTGCTGTACTAGGAGAAGCTTCACAGTTTTATAGGCTATGAAATCTTTGAAAAAAGAAACTAGCAAACTTACCATTACTGAAACTCATTTTCTTACAAATAACAGCATCCTAATTTCCACCAACATCCATCGAAAATTTAAAAAAAAAAAAGAAAAAAATCCATTCCAAAATTAACTAATGTAGAGGGGAAATCGATCCACATACAAAGTTTCATCTTTAGAGATATAGGCACAAAGACGTTGGTATACTTTCGTACAAAAAGTTGTGGAGGGACACCAGATGGAAAGCCACAAGATTATGCATATCCCAATCGTTCTGGTGTTGATTTAACATCTGGAACAAAGTGTAGTGCAACAAAAGAATGAGTGGAATGAGAGTCAATAAGAACATGAGCTAAGTGACCACAAAAGAAGGTGTACATGCCACAACGTTTTCCGTAGCATTAGAATTTTTCGGATACTTAAGGCAAAAAGCTCTCCCTTGGCGCTTCTTGTTCTTTTCTTCACTCCTGTGTTGTTCCTAGTTTCTAAATAGTTTTAGAGGTTACCCATCCCACAGGTTGGTGGAATTTTGGGCAAATCCTTCACCAAATGGCCAAATTGGCCTCGTCTATAACATGCTTCTATTGCCCAATAACACTGTTCCCCTATGAGCTTTTCCCGTAAACTCAAAGGACCAATTCGGAATGGTGCTACCCCATGGGAATAGTAAAAAAAAACTTTGGTGAGGCTTGAACCAGTTGAGCTAGTTAGGTCCGGTATTTACTCTCTTTGGTGCGGCTGCCTAAACTCCGACCAGTTCCCAAGATCGTTTCTTTTGGACCCATTCCACTTTCAATGTGCGGTTTTAATTCCTTTCTCGGTGATGTATGGCTCAAATCACCAAAACCTTCTTGTATAGGTTGTTGTTTTGAAAAACCTCAAGCCTATCTTTGATTTCGCATTCCAGTCCTGCTTCAAATTTCCTTGGTTTCATTGCTTCTTGTCAGGAATTTAACAATATGATGAAAAATCATGCTAGTTTGGGTGAACTTACTTTCGTATTCCACCACCGACATTGTTTTCCTTGGGCCTCAAATGTAGGAAACTGTTGATGTCTTCTACTCCCCGTAGTGATTATGGAAAATTATTTTCATAGACACAATCTAGGAATCTTGCCCAAGCTTACATCTCTTCCTTTCAAGGTTGGAAGAAGCCACCATTGTTGCGCATCTTCCTTTGAGGTGAAAGTGGTTGAAGGACCACTTTCTATTCTTCTGTGCTTTTGTGGCAGGGTAGGGCACCGAAAAATCTTTCCTCCATTTCCTTTAACCCAACATTTCAGCTAGTAATGGCAGTTTTGAGCCTCCTGTCGAAACATGGAAGGTTTCAAATCTGGAAAACTATTTACATCGTAGTTGTCCTTCACAATGTTCTAGAACCCAGTATTTTGCAAGCTTTGCAAGAACTAGTTAACAGCTCTTCCATAATCTTTTCATCTGGATCTGGCTCCATTAGATGATGATCGGGTACCATTTTCATCCGTTAGCCATAACTATAAATTAAATAGTTTTAATAAACATGGTGCATGATTTCCCTAATTAATTATCAATTAAAAAACATGTTCACATAATCTACAAAACATAGTTCACCAAAGAACAATATATACATTACTCACAAAATTACCGGTTTTATTTATCTATAAAGGTTGGTTGGTACATTACTTGTATTATGTCAAATTTTAGTTGCCTAAGCCCTCCATGACAAAATGGGTTAGAAAACTAGGTCATGCAAGCTCCACTTTTACAAAACAAGCAAAAAAGGAAAAAAAAAAAAAAAAAAAAGAGAATAAAAACCACAAAAACAACAAAAGGAAAGGAATCTTGTTTCTCGAGATTTTAGACTGAAATAACCATGGGTACTACAATTGCATATGATGTTCAAAAACTCCCAATCGCTCAGCTCGATACCAAAGGGCATCACACCCACCTTCCACTCGGTAAATGGGGATGTCTTCCGCGTTAATCCCCATATTGTCGGTCCCGTGATAACCCATAGGCACCCCACATGTGTTTCATAATATCACGGAAAAATCAATTCGTCTGAGTTATCAATCACGGGCGAGGGGAGGGACTCTTACTTGAATATGGTCACTTTAAGAAGGCATTCCCTTTGGCCAAAGCCATAAACTCTAAAGGTTCAAAGGTGCCCTATCTAAGTAGCGAGGGGATATCCCTTACTTAGGGGCCATGCCTTACTACCCGTGTTTGGCCCCAAAAAACCTTGTTTTAGTGTACTCCATAGCATTTCAATCTCCACCACTGGTGTACCTACCTTCTGTGGGGATACCCTTAAAGTATTACTGCGGTCGGCCATTAGTTGGTTGGAGGGTCGGGATTCCACCTATCTAACTATTCCTCTAAATTCTCCTAATTTCCTCTTGGAATTTCTAAAAACGTTAATGCTATTTTCAAAAATTCCTTTCAAAGTTAGGACGATTGAGGCCCATACCAAAAAGAGTCGCTAAAGTTAAATTCCGAACATTTACCCTGCACCACAGGGATACCCAACTCAAGCTATAGAGCTAATAAAGACGTATAATCATAAGGACTAGGTAAGATTTTCTTATCTTGTTTTCTAATGGTATTATATCTTCTTGCTTAATGGGTCCTTTTTTTTTTTTTTTTTTTTAAAACATTGCATCTGATACCACTTTGTCACGGAACCCCATCCTACGTGGACCAGGGCGGATTCGCACAACTAGTTAAATTTCTAAAATTTCTCAGATTAATCTAAGTAATTAAATTTAAATAATGCCAAACCATAATGGAAATAAAAGATGTAGATTAAATATTTGCAAGCGTACATGGAAATTATTATTATGTAACGATTGTTAATGGTCAGTCAGATAGTGATTATAAGTAAATACACACAACACCCACACACACCCCCCCCCCCCCCCCCCAAAAAAAAAAAACAAGGATGTTTCATATCAAATATGGCTTTTTGATCAATGGGAGTAAAACCATCATTCTTTTAAGTTTCTTCACCTAAAAAGTGGGTTTTAACAAGTTCATAAAGCACATGGTTAGAGTTAGGAATATTATACTTAGAGTATAAGGATATATAAACCACCATGGATAAATTTAGGAAAAACAATGAATAGTTTGGTTCTGGAATAAATTATTTTAAATAATAGAATATAATAACAAAAATTTGTATATGCCAAATAATCATAACCACGGTATAGAACAGGAAACTTTAACGGAAGGGTTCAATGGGATCCATAAACAAATAGAGGGTCACAACATGGGACTAATCAGGGTCAATGGTTATTTAATTTCCCCCAAGGGCATGGGACCGTCAGAGGGTCCACTAAAGTGACCCAATTCATGAGGGCCAATGGTTATTTTAAAGTCCCCAAGGCATGGGACCGTCAAGAGGAGTACTAAAAGTGACAATTCAGAGCCAAAAGTTATTTTAAGCCCCAAGGCCATATGGACCTCTGTGTGGCACTTATAAAAATGAAATGGTTATGTACTCATTGTTCAAATAAATTTCCAAAAATTTAAACAATCATATCCATGAGTTTCAATTTTTAAATAAGCAGGGCCTCATAAAATTGAATAACATAATTAAAATGATTAATATAATTAAAAAAATGTGATAGCATAAAATAATTTATACAATAATAAAATATTTTGTGGCTACTTCAAGGTATAATATAACTCACCTTAATATTGACTTAATTTTTACTTTCCTTACTAGGGTCCCCCGCTATTACTTGTATGCTGCACCTCAGTTTATTTCTTTCCTAATGCATAGTAACTCTAACTCATAACTATTTTATAGTTTGGTGAATATGCTTCATCCCTCAATAAACTTTCAATGATCTGTGGCAACGCTGTGGCATGTTTAAATTCGGCCACCAGTCCAACAGGTTGCGACTTTGCCCATTCCTCTGCACGTCGCTTAGGTCGTTTGCAAAGCTATGGCATGTCACCAAAAAGCTATGCATTGGCACACTTTCCCATCCTATATTTGGCTAGGCTGAAGGCCTACGGGATGTTTTTATTTTTTTAATTTTTAAATTTTTTTCTTCCAAATTCCACATTATTTTACCTGGGCCCATAGATTCATTTCTTTCTTAAGAACTAAGTCCAATTTTGAGGTTCAAATTTTTAATTTGTATTCTATCCACTAAACATTTTTTATTAAATGTATAGTTAATACATTGGTGAATTTAATCCAATAATTGGTGTCACAACAACATATGTTGCTGGATATTGTAAGTTTTTGATTTTTTAGTTGGACTTTCTACTTTTAGTAGCATAAATCAAAACATAAATTATATACATCGAAATATATAATAATATATTATATAAATATCCAACATTGAATGGTCAAGTTTAAAAACCATAAATTCATGTTCCATGTAGCTAATAAGGAGGACTGTGAGTACATATGCATTTAGGCTTAGATTGCTTGAGACATCAAGCAATCTTAGAGCTTGAAATATGTGATGCACATACGCAAAGCCATAGGGTGATTGACCGATTTACAAGCTTTACAATCCATAATTCTATTAGGGAAAAAAAGAAGAGGAAACCCTCCACATCATTGAGGCATACAAGACTCAAGATCAAATCACCTTGTTCATATTATGGAATCCTCATTTATTTTATGATGAAATACATACTGTATCAGGACAATTACTAGAGATCAAAAATATTTGAGTATAGCTTCATTTTCATCACTAGTGCATTTAGATATACTCAAAATTCATAATTCATTTAAATACACTACAGGAAAAATGAGTTTTGGCGACGTTTATTTAACGGCGTTTTATAAAACGTCACATTTATAACATTTAACGACGTTTCTTAAACGTCGCTGTTTTAAAAAATAAAAACGGCACCGTTTCACGCGTTTAAAAGCGCCTTCGATTGTCCTCTCTCTCTCCCTTAAATGGGCAACCCTGTGAATCCCTAATCTCTCTCACTCGCTCAGTTCGTAGCCCTAATCTCTTACTCACAGTCTCTCGTTCGCTCTCTCATTTTCTCTAAACCCTCTCAATGGATCGATTCATCTCTCACTGATTCAGCTCAGAATGATACAATCTCGCTGATTAATCTTGGCAGTTTCGATTTTGATTTTGATTTCGAAGTTCTCTCTCGATTTCGATTTCAAGATTTCTGTCTCGGTGATTCTCTCTCTCAATTTCAAAGTCTATTTGAATCTGAGAATAATTGTTTAAAGCCCTTTGTAACCCTCATTTGGAATCCTCATGCCTTCAAATCTCGTCTCTCTCAACCTTCTCTAAACCGTTATCATTCTCACAGATTCATCTTTGAGATTCAGAGCGAATTCGATTTCGAAGCTCCATTCCACCACCGTCTGCCCCGGCTCGATTCTTCAGATTTTGATTTCGAAGGTCCACTCCCACCACCATCTGCACCAGCGAGGTATCAATTTCTCTGTCTCTCTCAAGCTCTTCCTTCTCGTCTCTCTCGATCTGGTTATTGAAATTGAAATTCTAAACAAGAAACTACAAGTTGATTTGTGGGCTGAACACATCATTTTCTTCTTTTCTTTACTCTCTGCTTCGTTGAACTAGATTTAAAGTCTTTGCTTCAAGTCCGTAT